TTTGAGTATGATCCACCACAATGTGTGTAGGATGCAAAATTGTAACTTCGACTAGTACTATACATGCATTCCTATTTACCACTTCTTTTCAATCCATTTGTCATTGTTGCCGGCCCGTGCAGGTTGTCCCGACGAACGAATCTGCAAAGAACAACAAACAGCTTTGATGATTTCAACGAGACAGTGATGGCTAGCTAGCTAGCTATCAATGAAAACACAAACAGAACTAACAAGACTACTTTACTGCTATAAATACAGGGGCCATGTATCGTGAAACTCCATCATTCCAACAACACAAGCTATCTATCCTTATATAAAAAAAGGAGAAGTTTGCAAGCAAGAACAGCTCATAATAGCAGCCATGGCCTTGTTTGCAAGCAAGAACAAGAAGATGGTGGTGTCGATGTTCGCCGTCGTTGCCGCTTTGGCTGTTTTCGCACCCACCACGGCTTCGGCGAAACAATACGTGGTGGGTGATGAGACGGGGTGGACCAAGGATTTTGATTACACCACTTGGACCGCCGGCAAGCAGTTCTTCGTCGGTGACTCCCTTGGTAAGTAGAAATACTACTATTTCGTATCTTGTGGCTTTTGTGAAAAGGTACGGTTTGTAATATTTCACTTAGGGCCATAATTTTCTTTTGAAAATAATGATCATTTATTTTGTGACGTAATTTGCAAAGATCTTCTATATTTTCGTATCTATATACTGTTTTGTTTTGTGATGTTTCATTAAATCTTTAATTACTCCGCTTGGATGCAGTGTTCAACTACCCAGCAGGGAAACACAACGTGTTCAAAGTGAACGGCACAGATTTCCAGCAGTGCTCCAAGCCACTTGTCGGCGCTCCACTCACCACCGGGAGCGATGAGATTCCGCTCAAAACCACGGGGAAGAAATGGTACATCTGCGGCGTCACCGGCCACTGCACCTCCGGCCAGAAGCTCGTCATCACTGTCCTCGACGGATCCGCCGCTCCTGCGCCGACGCCGATCTCGCCAACGACCGGCGCCGCCCCGGGGAGCATCGTCAGTGCTGGATTCGCTGCGGCCACGGTCGTCGCCGTCGGCGTTCTTGGGATGTTCATGTTCTGATCAAATTCATGAGTTGTGAAATCTGAACTTAGATAGAAAGTCTAGTTCGGTTTTTGCCTTTTGGGTTTTATTGCTCTATCTTTGATTTTACATTCTTTTTTTTTTTTATCTATAGTACTGTAACCATTACTATTTTATTTTTACAACTACGATTATATTGATTACCAAGGAAAATAAATATATTGCTTACCAGCGATCTGGATTCTCATTAACAACCACAAATCAATATCAAACGTGGAAATATAAAATATTCTTGTGGACATGAATACTGAATAGGGATGAGAACGAGGAATTTTACAATGCTATATAGCGTTGGTGCTATAGGGTTTTGCTTTTATGGTACAACTTGAAATTGTATCTTTAGCGTTATGGTACAACTTTAAATTGTTCCAATACTTTTTGTACAAATTCTTTTATGGTACAACTTAAACTTGTACCTTATGTGATGGTACATCTTCAAATTGTAAAGTTGTACCATAACATAATGATACAAATTCTTTTATGGTACAACCTAAAATTATACATTTAATGTTATGGTACAACTTCAAGTTGTACATTAAAGCACCAATGCTATATAGCATGGTAGAAGTGCTAGGATGAGAACATGTTTCTCTAACTTCAAATCCAACATTAATATTGAGAATCGTTCCATTAAAAAAACTCAATAAAATACCTATTGAATTTGAGAAGTGAAAACTCAATCCAAATCAACAAATACCTAGGGGTCGTTTGGAGAATGAGAGTATGAATCAAGAGATTCTAATAAATCTAAAGATTTTAACTCATGAGATTGTTTGATTATGATTCTGAAAAATTCAATGTATGGTAATTGTGATTTAGTGAAAATATAAATTCTAAATTTTAATGAAAGGACATATTTGCCCTAAAAAATTAAGACGGTAAAAAAGACCATTGTCGTGTCTTTCCCGCTGAATTCTCCCGCCACTATAGCTTCCTTCATGTTCTATTCTTTTTCTAAACCATCACCCTCATCAAAGCACAATCGGTGATACGTTCTAGACCGGACAAAATGTGGTGTCTACACGGGTTACCATCAGATTCCCATGGTGGAGGAGGATAGGGCAACGATCGCTTTCTTGACACGCTTTGGCAACTTCTGTTACAAAGTTATGGCGTTTGGGTTGAAGAATGCAAGAGCTACCTATCAGCGCATGGTTAACCAGGTCTTCTGTAAGCAATTGGGAAGGAATGTCGAAGCATGCGTGTATGACTTGATTGTGAAAAGAAAGAGGCGCCAAGACCATATCATGGACTTACGAGAAACCTTCGAGACCATGCGCCTCTTTCAGTTAAAACTCAACCCAAAGAAGTGTGTGTTTTTGGCGGAGGCTGGGAAGTTTCTGGGGTTCATGATAACGAAGCGGGGGATTGAGGCCAACCCCAATCAAGTTGAAGCAATTATGTGCTTGGCGCCCCCTCGAACACCGAAGGAGGTGCAAGGATTGACGGGAAGGTTAGCAGCACTTGGTCGCTTTATTCCTAGAGCATCGGACAGAGGCGACCCCTTTTTCAAGGTTCTGAAGAAAGCCTCCAGATTTAGGTCGACGCAAGAGTGTGACAAAGCCTTTGAGGACCTAAAGGAGTTGCTCACGGCGCCTACGTTGATGACCGCGCCCAAGGCAAAGGAAACATTGTACTTGTACATCTCCGTTGCATATCGTCGTAAGCGCGTTTCTCGTATCAAAAGACCCATTGACAAACGAAGAGAGGCCGGAGTATTATGTCAGCCATACCATGGTGGGTCATGAAACGCGGTACGCACCCATAGAAAAGGCGGCGCTAGCGGTGGTCATGGTTGCGAACAAACTCCGACCCTATTTTCAGGCTCATAGTATTGTGGTGCTCACAAACCTTCCTCTCAGAAAGGTCTTGAGATCTATGGATGTGTCTGGGCGCCTAGTTAAGTGGGTTGTCCAACTTAGTGAATTCGATGTAAGCTATGCGCCCAGACCAACAATCTAGGCCCAGGTGTTGGCAGATTTCGTGGCTGAAGGAGTGGTTGACGTGGGAGTGGGTGCGAAAGAGTGTTGGCAAGTGCATGTGGACGGAGTAGCAAGCCGAGCGGGGGCAGGAATCGTCCTCATTAGCCCGTTGGGCGCCATGCATGAAGTTGCATTACGCTTCGCAACTCTCAAAACGAACAATGCTGCGGAGTATCAGGCCGTCTTAGCAGGGCTCCACATTGTAAGGAAGTTAGGCGCCCAAAAGGTCAATATCCAAACTGATTAGACGCTAGTGGTTAATCAATTAAACGAGGTTTATGAGGTGAAGGAGGAGCCGGTGGTAGCCTATGTCCACTCAATTCGGAAGAAGTACGCCTGGTTTCGTGAAGTGACATTCACACACGTCCCAAAGGAGGAAAATGCTCACGCGTATGCCTTATCTAAGTTGGCCACAACATTGGATTTTGGGGAAGATAGGACAATGATTGTCACAAAAGAGGCCCCACATGAGGAAATGGTAATGACGTCACTTTCCATAGGAGCAATGGAAGGCTGGATGGCAACTATAATGCTTTTTCTTACGCAAGGCATAGTGTCGGAAGACCCAAAAGAAGCTTGGAGTTTACGACGAAAGTAAGCCCGGTGCGCTATCGTGGACAGAGTGCTATACAAAAGATCACAATCAGGCGCCTACTTGCGGTGCCTCACAAATTCTAGAGCTTAGAGCCAAAAACTTGGAGCAACAAAAATGTGTTTTTTCGTAGGATGAGATGAGCCTACATATGTTATTTGTTTGATATTAATTGAATGTAATATAGTCTTTAGTGCTTATTTTCTTTATATCTAATCTTTCAAGAGCTAATAACCATACATTTATGGATTGCTTGTTTATTTCATGTGAAATGTAGAGAGTATCCCCATGGCATATTAGAACGCTTAAATTCGATAATAATAATTATTAGACCACACCTAATGCTAGATTACGGAACACGAATCTATAATTGTTATTAAAAATATACTATGTAAACCTATGAATGTTGAAAGGATAGTATTTTTTATCGATCAAACAAACGTGTTACATAAATCTTTCATAATAATTAAAACACTACGTAAAGTTTAAGGAAGTGCATTACGTAAACTACGTACTATTTTGGCATACATAAATTAATCATATCACGTGCCAGGAACCATTTGAACCGGTGACATCAGGATTTTCAGCCATTTGCTCTACCAGCAAAGCTATCTCGACCATTTCAATCCCGCTGACTTCCTCACTTTACTAAATGGACTAGGTCTATCTCGATTAAAAAAGGTAATTTTTTTTTAAAATTTAGTATATACTTAATCTTCCAGTTTTTGTTCCATTAATCAGAGTAGAGAGTACGCTTAAGAAGAAGGATACCATCAATCATACCAACCAGCTGGTTAGTAAAGGTAGGTGATATATACCACACAAATGGCATTGTTTTTGCAGGTTGACAGTAACAATGTACGTAAATTATTTTGTATGCATATCGTATCATTGAAATTCTTTGTCAGCAGAAGATAGATACTGAGCTAGCCTGATGGCGTAGACATAAAAGCCAAGAAACGTCTCCTAGCCTATTTGGAAGAAGCATATGTCAAGGTGGCACTTTTTCACCCGTGATTTTCTTCAATACTAAACATTATTTTTTTATAAGCAACTAAGCATTTTGTTCAATAAGACATTAATTCTGAAACAAATATACAACAAGTTAAAGAGAAAAAAAAAAAAAAAAAAACAGGTGGTGATCACTAGAACGTTGTGGTGTTGCCGCCCTATGCCGGTTGTCCGGTCCGGCGGAATCTGCCAACCACAACAAGCAGGCTAGCTGTTTGATGATTTCAACGAAAGATTCTTCAATTAACACTGCTACCAAACTGCTATAAAACGGGGCCTTGCTGATAATCATTTAAAATCCATCATCCGCAACAACACATCTATCTATCTTCTCTTTTACTAGCTAGCTGAGTATTGTTACCAAATTAAAAAAATCAAAACAAGAGAGTTAATTTGCTATCACAGCCATGGCCACTTTTGCAAGCAAGATGGTGGTGTCGATGATCGCCGTCGTTGCCACTCTCGCAGTTTTGGCTCCCACCACGGCTTCGGCGAAACAATACGTGGTGGGTGATGAGACGGGGTGGACCAAGGATTTTGATTACACCACTTGGACCGCCGGCAAGCAGTTCTTCGTCGGTGACTCCCTTGGTAAGTAGAAATACTACTATTTCGTATCTTGTGGCTTTTGTGAAAAGGTACGGTTTGTAATATTTCACTTAGGGCCATAATTTTCTTTTGAAAATAATGATCATTTATTTTGTGACGTAATTTGCAAAGATCTTCTATATTTTCGTATCTATATACTGTTTTGTTTTGTGATGTTTCATTAAATCTTTAATTACTCCGCTTGGATGCAGTGTTCAACTACCCAGCAGGGAAACACAACGTGTTCAAAGTGAACGGCACAGATTTCCAGCAGTGCTCCAAGCCACTCGTTGGCGCTCCACTCACCACCGGGAGCGACGAGATTCCGCTCAAAACCACGGGGAAGAAATGGTACATCTGCGGCGTCTCCGGCCATTGCGCTACCGGCCAGAAGCTTGTCATCACTGTCTCCGACGGATCCGCCGCTCCGGCCCCGACTCCCGTCTCGCCATCAACTGGGGCCGCCCCGGGGAGCATCGTCAGTGCTGGGTTTGTTGCAGCCATGGTCGTCGTTGGTGTTCTTGGGATGGTCATGTTCTGATCAAATTGATGAGTTGTGGTTTTCCGAAGTATTATTACTAGAAAATTATTGTTGTATCTTTTGGGAGAGGAAAGGACAGCGCTGGTTCATGTCATCTTTGATTTACATTCTTTTTTTTTTTTTTTATATCTACAGTACATTACTGTAACGATTACCTTTTACAATTATTTTGGATTATGAAAGAGAATAATATATTGAGATTGTTTTGTTGTTGTATTTGAAAAATGAGAGTTCCATTGTAATAAAGGTTTTGAAAATTTTTAAATTTAAGATGGATTTGATCAATTATGAATTTGAGAAATTTGTTGTTTACTTGTTGGATTTGGTCTAGGATTATACTTTTATCCATTTAAAGAGTAATTTCCTTTACTACGTATCTTTAATAGTGGATTTTTTCTCAGAATACACATGTTTTTAAAAAATAGTCAAAATACACACGTTTTAGGAAAAATTCTCAATCTTCACATGTTCGGGCATCACCGCGGTCGTCGACCGCGGTAAAGGTTTGACCTAAGGCTGAAACTTCAAACTAACATAACTTTGCGCTCAGTTATCCGATTATACTATTTTTTTTTTATTTCGCATACTTTTCAAGATCTTTCAATTTGCAGCTATCATTCATCCCAAAAAATGTCGTTTGCTACCCCGAACGAGCAATTTTTCAATTTTGACAAACTTTGGAAGACCATAACTTTGTGCTCCGCAATCCGAATGTCATGAATTTTTTTTTATTTTGCATAAATTTTAAGGACTCCAACTTTGATCATAACCATAATTTTGGAATGTATGTGGAAAGTAAAGGCAAATTTATTCTCAAAATCTCGTATACCCAAAAATATTTCTTGTTTTGAAAACTCTTTCCTTGTAAAATTTGTAGTTCTTAAAAATTTATGCGCAATAAAAAAATAAACTTTAACACTTTCGGATTGAGGAGCACAAAATAATGGCCTTCCAAAGTTTGGAAAAATCGAAAAATTGCTTGTTCTGGGTAGCAAACGACATTTTTTTGGCATGAAGGCCAGTTGTACCTAGATTGAAAGATCTTGAAAAGTTATGCGGAATCAAATTTTTTTCCCACTATTATCGGGTAACCGAGCGCTAAGTTACATTAGTTTGAAGTTTCATAGTTCAAGCCTTCACCGCGACCCTCAACCACAGTGATGCATTCACCGCTTTAGTCTTTAGTGGTGAATGCATTCACTGCGATTGACGGCTGCAGTGATGCCCAAACATGTGTAGATTGGGAATTTTTCATAAAACGTGTGTATTTTGATTTTTTTTAAAACATGTGTATTTTACGATTTTCCCCGTAATAGTTGGCAAACGAACCCTACAAATAAGCTATCTAATGGTGTTATTTTTCTAATTGCTTGTTCATACCAATGCATATGCATTATATTCTAACTCTTTGTGATAAATAAGCAATAAATAACTACATAAACGTGTTAACAAGGAGGAAAGAAGTGAAAAAGTGAAAGGAGAATTGAGGGAAAGTAATTAAAATTTAGTTTTGTGGCTACTCAATTATATTTGTACTCTTTATGTCTTAATTGTCTTTCCTGTCATTGACATATTACAATTTTATAATTGTATTTTTTATATATAAAGAAATACTCTTAATGGGTTGTAGAGCCTAAAACCATCCCCATCAACCTTTTTATGAAATTTACTCAATATGGGGATTCCTGATAGAAACCTATTTCTAGGGTTCTATCGATGGAGTTGGTTAATTGGGAATTTAGGGATTTGAGGATAGAATTGGGGATTGATATTGAGAATTTGGGAAAGAAGAAGAAAAGAATAAGAATCGGCCGAAACCTTAGAGGGCTAGAGAACGAGAAATTAGGAGATAGAGGATTAGGGTTTTGGAGAGATACGTTCTGAATAATTGTTCTTGCTTGCTTGATAATAAAACCCTGATTACATATTTATAGGAAAGATAGAAAAACCAAATAATAAACCTAATTCTACTAAAAGACTACTATCCTTATTTGTCAATATCCTAATAATAATAATAATAATAATAATAATAATAATTATTATTATTATTATTATGATAGAATCACGAAAACATGTTTCTATCATCTCCTCCCCTTGAGACCAACCTTGCCCTCATGATAGCATGTCACCGTCCCTTCCCTGCGTCGACGGTTGACTCCGCTGTGGAACTTCCTAAATCGCACGCCCAGATCAGTTGAACATGCTGCTAGCTCCATCGTGGCGGCATGTCTGCCCAACGCCGGCATCTGCTCTCGCCTTTCCACTCGCCGCTCCGATCGCTTCCGCCGGTGACCAGACGCTTCCTTGGCCTCCAGTCAGTGGCCGTCGTCGCCGCGGCGCTCCGCCAGCCTTGCACATATTTCAGTGCTCCTTTCTGACCGAGACTCGGCAGTGCGATTAAAGGGCGATAATAGGGATCTGAATGCGGTGGCTTCCCCGTCGTTAGCCAGCTACGACGGTAACTGCTCACGCTCCATCTGTTTCGCACAGCTAGAGCCATCTCTGGGCTCTTGTATCTTCTTCCTGAACTTCCAGGAAACAACATATTGGATTGGGAACATTGATTGTTCCATCCAGTCTTCCAAATCCATATTTGCTCGCCCTAGCTCCTGTGAACCTATGTTTCCAGAGGCCTTCGACAATGGTGTTGAGATGATAACAACAATGGCAGTTTCGAGCATCAACAATGATTCTTCTTTGCTCGGTGGCTCAGTGGTGATCATCAAGAGCTGCGGCTGTTTGATGTTCTCGCCATCGGCGTCGGGTAGATTAACAGGTAGTGTTGATGGTGCTGGTGGGGTAGCAGTCGCTGAAGGCTTTGTTGCAGCTGCCTGAAACTGTGATCGTTCGTTAGAGATCTCCACCGCCCGATTGTTTTCGTCGAGCAGTGCGGGTGGGTTGACGGCACCAAGGGACATCACCTCCTCGTGCCATGCTAGAGGGATAGCAACATCAGTCGATTTGGTGGAGTGTGGTGTCTTCGAGGCCGCAATGGCGAGTGCTGATGGCGATGATGGTGGTTAAATGACCGCGACAGTGGTTGGAATGGCAGCGACGGCTGGTGGTTTTGGTTCGATTTGTAGAGGTGAGTTTAGGGCTCCTTCGAACTGCTCCTCTTCATTCGCGGCGGCAGTCGCCGCTTCTGCCATCGCCTGGCCCGCGGCCGCCGCCCTCTCTCGCTCTTCCCGTTCGTAGTAGTGAAGACTCTGCTGCAACATCTGATTGAGACAAATCCATTCTGAATCGAAGAACCTCGATGTGTTCATTCTGGCTCTGATACCAGATGATAGAAACCTATTTCTAGGGTTCTAAAGTTGGTTGATTGGGAATTTAGGGATTTGAGGATATAATTGGGAAATGAGATTGAGAATTTGGGAGGAAGAAGATAAGAACAAGAATCGGCTGAAACCTTAGAGGGCTAGAGAATGAGAAATTATGAGATAGATGATTAGGGTTTTGGATAGATACGTTCTGAATAATTGTTCTTGCTTGCTTGATAATGAAACCCTGATTACATATTTATATGAAAGATAGGAAAACCAAATAATAAACCTAATTCTACTAAAAAACTACTATACTTATTTGTAAATATCCTAATAATAATAATAATAATAATAATAACAATAATAATAATAATAATAATAATGATAATGATAATTATGATAGAATCACGAAAACGTGTTTCTATCAATTCCCCACATTGACTTAGTCGAGAGCGGTTGGATACCTATGACCGAGCCTATCCACGACCATTGTGGAGGTCATGGTGATTTCCTCTTCTTGATTTGTATGAGGCAGAGCCATGACCAGCAGGGCTCTGTTAGAGGCTATGACTGGAGTCCTAAAGCTGCCTATATATAAGGACATTTTCTCCCAATTTTAGAGGTCTTTTACCAATTTGGTTCATGTGCTTAGAGAAACAAATTTGGAGCAAGAAATTGCATTTTTATGATAGATTAATGTTGGAGATACATTTTTATAATAGATTAAGTTGTAAAGGCATCCAAACTCGGACGCCTTTACAACTTAATATTAGAGGGCTAACTAAGTTCGTTAGTCTTTCGATGATCAAGCCAAACGAGGGCTCATTAAGTCCGTTAGTCCTCCAACGATGAAGACATGAAAGTTTTATTAGAGAGATAAGTACTTGTAGAGTTAGAGAGAGTGACCAATTGTTTTAGTGTAGTCAACCTATCAATATTTGTAGTCATGGTGGTCTCGACCATTGACATGATACTTCAATCATTGCAAATGTCGCATTAACTGATTCATACTATCTTTTTCTCTCAACAGACCAACAAAGGTACACTGTAAATGTATGTAGCAGGCGTATAACGTCCCGTGCAAAAGAGAAAGGGTTGAAATCATGGCAGGCAAATGACATAATCTTTTGTCGTGACTCTATTGTAGCGTCCTTGTACTAGCTGTTCACTAAAAATGTGTTGATTGTTGACCCTTATTGTGACGTAATCTTTTGTATGATGTGTCTGCTCAACAGCTGCTTTATAGGAGCCTGGCGCATAATGACGACAATTGGGCGGGACATGTAGCTCAATAATCATACACGCCTCACATCAAGCGCGGATCAGGTGGGGATATACCCACGCGGGTACAAGTCGGGGCATGTCGATTCATTCTTGATCATAAAAAATGAAGAGAGAATAGTTATGTTCATGAATGGAAAATAGAATAGGGAGACTAATTGAGTGAAATTAGTTGAAGATGAAGTATTGCTTGCACCTATTTAAATATTAAGATAAATAATATTAGAATGGGTTAAAAACGGAGCAAGACAGAGCGAGATATGATGGTGTTTTCCGGCGAGGAAAAACTAGTGTTTGAACTCAATAAATGCACCTTTGAGTTCTTGAACAACGATTCTAAACACGGTTCACTCCTCTCTGAAAAATGTTCGAACGAGGGTGATTGATGGTTTTGATTGGAAAAAAGCTAAGTTAATTACACCTACTCCTATGGAGGTTCAGTGAGAGCTCCAAAAACTAAGGCTAGGGCTAATTTGCAGAGAAAAGATAAAAGTTTGACATAGTCTGTCCAATGGTTGGTTGTGGAACCCTTGCTTCGTTTTCGTTTCTCCTATTTATAGCCATCCCTTGTAACTGCTGTGTAACCGCCTCTTGGTAACCGTGTGCTCCACTGCTTGTTGTTTGATGTAGCTTGCTTGACGCCTTGACTGTCTTGCGTGCTTGCCACTTGATGATTTCACTTGATAGCTAACCCCTTTTGCCATGGAGGTGTCTTGTTTGGTGAGTGAAGGCTTCAAGCTTGGTGGTACTCATGCTAACCACCTTAACATTACGTCATGCTCGACACCGGGGTGCTTGGGGGTTTGATGGATGCACAATGACCCCTTTTGGGGTGGCATCATGCTTGTAGGGTCTTGACAAGGCGGTCTACCATGTGATGATATACATGGCTGACTACTTAGAAACTTGATGACCTTGCACGAGACCTAGCACCTCTGCTCTGCTTGGGTACTTGAGAGGTGAGTGTCAAAGCAATGCCGACACCAACTCTCCTTCCTTGCACGGCGTCATGCTTGACACCCTAGCGCAAGGTAGGTAGACGAAATAGTGCTTGACCCCCCTTGCATGACATCATGCTTGACCCCCCAAGGATGATGTCATGCTTGACCCCCTTGTGCTATGGGTCTCAACACTTAGCCAAATTTTGCCATTCTTTGCCACCACGGTTTAGGGATTTGCGTTGCTCTTCTCCCCTTGCTACATGTTTGATACCCAGTAGACGGCTAGACCCCCTTGCGTCTCGTCATACTCGACTCAATGTCATGCTTGACCCCCCTTGGACACTATGACATGGATGATGTCGTGCTTGACCCCCCTTGGACGATGTCATGCATGACCCCCCCTTGGACGATGTCATGATTGACCCCCACTTGTGCTATGGGTCTCAACACTTAGCCAATTTTCGCCTTCTTTCTATCATGTCCAGCGGTACTCGCGATGACCCCTTTGCATGACATCATGGTTGACCCCCTTGGGATGATGTCATGCTTGACCCCCTTGGTGGTTAGGTCTCCATACTTAGCCAAATTCATGTTTTTCATGTCTTGGTACCAAGCCCTGCCCCCCTGGCCAAGGAATTCCATACTTAGCCAACTTTCATGTCTTTTGGTATCAAGCCTGCTTTGTCGGCTTGATACCCCTTTTGCTCCATCCTTATCCAAATTCTATGTCATAGTACCAAGCCCTGCCTTGCCGGCTTGATACCTTGTCGTTGAACTCCTTACTTGGTACCCGGTCATTTGGCACCCAACTGTGCCACCTTGTTTCCAGACTTAGTTTTTGGGAGTCAAATTTCATACCAAGGGGTGGAGGCATCATCCGCCTATGGGGGCCACGGAGATGGGTCGACCATCGTATAGAGAAGAAGGGGTGTGGCCACTTAGGCCCAAAAACCCAACCCAATAAGGCCTAACTAGCTCTTTCAGTTATTAATGTTGAGTTGGCCTTATAAATCCATTAATCCTCTTGTAATTAATCGATGTGGTATAAGCTGATTCTTTTATGGGTAAACAAATGCCCCCCAACTACTTAGTGCATAAGGATTATGGACTTAGTAGTTAACATCAACTAAACCACTTAGCTTCACACCTCGTACGTATCAAGCTCACCTCTCAAACCCTCTTGTGGCTGAGCTTTGGCTTTATCAAAGTCGATTAAAAGATAAGAAGCCATACTTTTCTCATTCAACCATCTGTAGGACTGCGATCTTCTTGCCCCCCAAGACAAGTTAACTCCTCATTGCGTTAGTAGCAAATTTTATTTTTATTATTGATGAAGTGCGATACCAATCTACTTGGATTCACTGCCCCCCATATCAATGTTATACTTTAATCTCAATATACCCTCCATGCCATGGCTAGCTACTCAAGGCAAACTTCATCATGAGGGTATCATGTCATGCCTTAGGGTGCGGGCGGCTTGGCATGTCGGCCACCATGGTGGCCTACTAACTTTGAACCCTTTGAAACCCCACATCCCAAAGAGAAGGGACGTAAGGCTTGTGATACTTACCATTGATCAATCGATCATGAAACACACCATTTAAATCTTTTAACAAGTAAGCCCCATTGGGTATGATGGCACAGATCATGAAGATTCTAGGTCACATACCCGATCTCTTGCTCATGCCTTGTAAGTGGCATGGATCCAAACACATTACTGTGGATTACCATTCATGACAAGAAACTCTCATCACAAGTCTAACAAAAACTTGCTACTTCGACATCTTCTTCTTTTTAAGCCATGAGTGGCCTATCTTTTTTTTTTCTAACTATTATTTATATAATTAATATAGTAAGGAGTGATATGCATCACTGTTCTACATACCCTATGGCCACCACAAACGTCCCAAAGGTGTATACCCACTGCCAAGTCCATGGATTAAACCAGACAAGCCATCCATAGACCACATGTTTACTCTCCTTAAAAAGAGATGACTCCTTATCAGTTGGTTTTGAATTTCCCAACTCAACCATGGATTGTGCCCGGTCCACTTGTCTTGCCTTTGTGGCCTTGTAGGGGTTCTCATGATCCTCTGCCTTAGCCACCTTACTAGACATATTCGGTTGATGTTGAACCTGATGTGCTTATCTCGTTTCTGGTGATACTCTAGGTATTCTTAACTAATTGGGATCATGAAAGAGACCACGAGTTTTTATATTCTTTGGTTCACCGCAACCATGCTTGCTCATCCCATATAGTTGGGAAGAGGAATGGTTGGACTCAACGAATCGATGACCACCCTTGTGGCCAACATGGCCTTGTTCAACCCTTACGCCATGATGACTTCTACACGTAGCACATATGACTTTTGGTTCTTTGTATGACCATGTTTGGTTATTGTATGCCGAGATGTCTTATTCTTGCCCCCTTGGTTGCCATTCATGTTTGGCATGCCAAGAGGGATGTTAAGCATGGACTTGCTTCGTTGTCCATCCATTAACACACTCTCATACTTAGAAACTTTTTGAGTGGCTTGGGTGTGTTGCACACTTATATAATTTTCTCCTACTTGTTTCTTCATGGTCGGTGACATGCCCCCCTGTCCACTGGTTGGAGACATGCCCCCATACCATTATTCATGGTTTTTCACGTGACCCCCTTGCCAGACTTAGCTATATTAGTATGCTTACTAAAAGCATGTGTGGCTTCATGTTGTGGCTTATTGGGCACACCTGTCACCCCACTACTTGTGGTTGGTGACATGTCCTTCATTTGTTTCTTAATGGTCGATGACATGACTCCTTGTCCACTTCCTGAGGCTGGAGACATGTCTTCCATGTCATTGTTCATAGTTGAAGACGTGTCATCTTTACCGCACTTAGCCATGCTAACATGCTTATTACAAGTATGTACGACTTGGACTTGTTTTAGCTTCTTATGCATGCTTATTTGTCCACTACTTGTAGTTGATGGCATGCACCTCTTGCCATACTTAGACAAATAATGTGGTGCTCTCTTGAACAAACCCCTATGTACACCTTCCTTGACATCAACGTGCACCCAGCCTGACACTTCACGTTCAACTTGTCAGGTGGTAGGCTTCTATGCCCCTCTTCCTGCCCCTTAGGTGGTTTGCATACACCATACCCATTGAATAGGGGTGGCAATGAGGGTGGACAAGCTTCTGGTGCTAGTTGATCAAAATTGACTTGATCTCCACCAGCCTTCCCATTACGAGGTGACATACATGATCTTGACACCAAGACAGTTTCTTGTGTAACTATCTGCACAAGCGGTTTCTCTACGTGGGTGGAGAACGTGTGAGTGATATTCTCGCCATAACCACCACGTAAAAAAGGTGGTTCACTTGTCACCGGAGGCGACGATTTCCCTGACCGTGGTTGAGCAGTCTGGCCACCGGAGACCATAATAATTGTATCTTTAGTAGCAATACTTGGTGGTGGATCTATACCATTTTTTGGTAAAGATATTTCTTGCACCACTGGTTCTATAAAATCATTTTTAAACTTATCCAAGCAATTTTTATTTTTTTATAACTACTTCAAATAATTGGTCCAACCTTCTATCTAAGGTGGAACTAAGAGAAGCAAGTTTGAGACTTGTGTGATGTGAACATCTAACAAGTTCATCCCAACTCTCCTCCATGAATTGGCGGTTCTCCTCCATGGCCTGGAGGTTTTCCTGAATGGCCAGGAGGTTCTCCGCCATCATCTTCTGTGTCTCCTCCACTATCAAATGGTGTGACATGACGGTGGTGGTTACTTTGACAGAAGGTGTCGGCGGTGGCAAAGCCTCTACCTTGCCATTGTTTCCGACAAATCCTTTTCCTTCTTGGCCACGTTCAAAATTGGCGACAACATCCATCACAAACCCAGGTGAAAGATCACCTTCTTGTTCTCTCAATCGTGGAGCCATCAAATCAAACACAATTGTCCCACCAGGTGTGCCAATTTGTTTTCCGGCGAGGAAAAACTGGTGTTTGAACTCAATAAATGCACCTTTGACTTCTTGAACAATGATTCTAAACACGGTTCACTCCTCTCCGAACAATGTTCGAACGAGGGTGTTTGATGGTTTTGATGGTTTTTTGGAAACAAGCTAAGTTAATTACACCTACTCCTATGGAGGTTCAGTGAGAGCTCCGAAAACTAAGGCTAGGGCTAATTTGCAGAGAAAAGATAAAAGTTTGACATAGTGTGTCCAATGGTTGGTTGTGGAACACTTGCTTCGTTTTCGTTACTCCTATTTATAGCCATCCCTTGTAACTACCGTGTAATCGCCTCATGGTAACCGTTGCTCCACTGCTTGGTGTTTGTGTAGCTTGCTTGACGCCTTGACTGTCTTGCGTGCTTGCCACTTGATGACTTCACTTGATAGCTAACCCCTTGTGCCATGGAGGTATCTTGTTTGGTAAGTGAAGGCTTCACGCTTGGTGGTTCTCATGCTAACCACCTTGACATGACGTCATAGCTCTACTTGCACGGTGTCATGCTTGACACCCTAGCGCAAGGTAGGTAGACGACATAGTGTTTGACCCCCCTTGCATGACATCATGCTTGACCCCCCTGGGATGATGTCATGCTTGACCCCCCTTGTGCTATGGGTCAAAACACTTAGCCAAATTTTGCCTTTCTTTGCCACCAAGGGGTGGAGGCATCATCCGGCTATGGGGGCCACGGAGACGGGTCGACCATCGTATAGAGAAGAAGGGGTTTGGCCACTTAGGCCCAAAAACCCAACCCAATAAGGCCTAAGTAGCTCTTTTAGTTATTAATGTTGAGTTGGCCTTATAAATCCATTAATTCTCTTGTAATTAATCGATGTGGTATAAGCTGATTCTTTTATGGCTAAACAGATGGAAGTAATACCCATGCCCCACCTACTCTATTGTAGATCGAGTATTACGCGCTTCAACATAGATCAGATCAGATAATACTTGATGGAGCGGATTCAAATTGCCATCACTACTGGTTGATCACCTTTTATCATCGAAATGACATCTGCAGGTAGGTTTGGCCCTAGCCCTATATGGGCCCCACACCTTTCACCATCAAAATTGTTAGTTAGTCATGGTTCCTACATCTATTATCAATTGCGTTGTAGTGTAACATTTACTTGGCCTGCAGAGATGTATATACGTCAAGATGGCACTTTTTGGCCGCTAATTATCTTCGCAACCAAACATCAGGCGTTCAATATTTACATTCTCAGACAAATATACTATACATAAAAGAGAAAATAAAAAAAGATCAGTTTGTGATCATTAAAACATTGTGGCATTCGCCGCACTATGACGGTTGTCCGGTCCGGCGGAAGCTGCAGGCCAAAATCAACAAGGTTCTTGATTGATGATAATTACAAAGGGATTCTGAAATCATCAGCACTACCAAGCTGCTATAAATCGGGGGCTTTGGCTGAGCTTAAGTCCATCATTCCCACAACAAAACATCTTATCGATTTTCTCTTTTCCTCAGCTTATTTTCTTTTGCTAGCTCATTGTTATATACTTTTGGTAGCGGCTAATTATATATAGCGATGGCCATTTTTGCGAGCAAGAACAAGAAGGCATTGGTGTCGATGATCGCCGTTGTCGCCGCGTTGGGAGTTTTGGCTCCGACGATGACTTGCGGAAAACAATACGTGGTGGGAGATGGAGAGGGTTGGACCAAGGGCTTCGATTACTCCGCTTGGACCGCCGGCAAGCAGTTCTTCGTTGGCGACTCCCTGGGTAAGTAGAAAAAATTATATACCATTTCATTGTAGGAAACGTTGCTTTTATTTAACCAGATAAGCGTAAATGAAGAACAAATTATATAAGGGTCCGTTTAGTATATGAATTTAAAATGCATGTAATGGATGAATTTAAATTACTTGCATTTGAAATTAATTAATAATAAACAATTGATTTTGATTAAGGAAAATATATTTAAAGAAATCTAAACGTTACACAAGTATATAAATTTATGAACGTATATTTTGGTTTGTGTATGCAGTGTTCAACTACCAGCAAGGGAGCCACAACGTGTTCAAAGTGAACGGGACAGAATTCAAGCAGTGCTTAAAGCCACTTGTTGGTGCTCCATTTACCACAGGGAACGACGAGATTGAACTCGAAACTGCCGGGAGGAAATGGTACATCTGCGGCGTCTCCGGCCACTGCAGCGCCGGTCAGAAGCTATTCATCAATGTCCTCGAAGGATCTGCCGCTCCGGCACCGACACCAGTCTCGCCATAAACCGGCGCCGTCTCTCGGAGCAATATCATCAATGCTGGGTTTGCTTGCTGCTGCCGTACGTGTTCTGAATATTTGATTTGTGTTTTAGGAAGTAATTCTAATAACATAAGAATAGAATTAATGAATGGGGTGGTTGTGAAATCTGGACTTAGACATAGAAGGCCTAGTTCAGTTTTTTACTTTTAAATTTGAGTTTTATTGTTGTATCTTTTGGTTCATGTCATCTTTGACATTTTTTTTTATCTACGCGGTAACAATATAACTACTTCGAATTACCATACACAATAAACATATATTATTTGTTAGCTCTTGTTACTAATCAACAAAGCAGAAATTAGGGCTGGCTATTTGGTCCGAACTGTTTGGTTTTATCCGAAACCGGACCGTATAACCCGGACCGGGACCGGATAGCAAACAATCCAATCTCATATTCGGGCTTAGATTTGAGGTAAAAAAACCCGGATAAAGACAATAAGAGACCACCAACACCTAAAATCAATATAAAATTGGGACCGGACCGGGTCAAGACCGGACCGAATCAAGACCGGACTGTATCTTTTGGTTCATGTCATCTTGACATTTTTTTTATCTACGCCGTAACAATATAACTACTTCGAATTACTCATATCCATCTATTTGGATTTCGTACTCAACCCATTTGAGTTGGATAGTAAAAAACCCATGAGTATGGGCAAAATTGCCACGAATTACTATAGAAAATAAACATATATTCTTTGTTAGCTCGTGTTATTAATCTTTTGTTTTTTGTACAAATAATACCAACTTTTATTCCACCATAAGAAAGAAACATGCTAAAAAGCTATTACAATCTTAGAGGAAATCATAAATTAGATCAAGAATCTTAATCCAGTCATCTTGTAGAATAGATTTAGCTTTTGATCGTGCAACCCAATCAGCTCTGACGTTCAACACCCTCGGAACCTCTTTCACCGAAATCGTAGGGTTAGTCATAAGGATATTGAGCATTGTTCTAATCCAGACTACACATTTCTAGGGCCATCGAGACTGATTATGATGTTGACAAAGCATAAATGTGTGGATGTTGACAAATCGGGGTTAATTGAGATAAACAATAAAGAAATGAAAATCGAAATGGAGACTCGTAAATAGTATCCCGAGATTCGGGAATACTCCACGGTAGAGCTACTAGCACTCTTTGTTGGGATCCGATCCCCTGGGACGAAGTCTTAATCAAATGGCCTCTCTGGAGTCGATACAGAGTAGACATCAAAGGCGGAAGAGTGTGTATGGTTTGACCCATGCACGACCTTGTCATCAATTTAGTTTTTTATTTTTTATGAAGGAATGAGTAGTACTCTTTATTAATATGACACTAAATGGGTATCAGAATGAGGATGTTATACTGTCAAATCAGGGTATCATAAGACGGTCGAGTTAAGACGGCAGAAGGAGCTGCAGGTGAAGGCAGTCGCTCTATCCTGGGACCGTAGCCTGTGGAAACGAATTTGGGCCACTCCGATACCGCCTAAACTGCGGTATTTTATTTGGCAGCTTGTCCTGGGTGTCTTGCCAACTGGCGAGGCACTGAGTACTCGTGGGATGGAGGGGCTGGAGCCATGTCCAGTCTGCGGGGAGGAGGTGGAGTCTCTTGAGCATCTCTTCTTCCGATGTCGTGTAGCGCTGCAGCTCTGGGAGGGGGCAGAGCTTCACCTGCTGAGAGATCGGTTCCCACTTAACAATATAAGCATCTTTTGGCGCAGGGTTCTCGAGGAAGGCAATTTGGACCGGAGCACGCTGATGCGGGTGGTGGCTCTTTTTTGGCGTGTTTGGCGTGCGCGAAATTGGGTTGTGTTTGATTTCACTCAGTTCATTGTCCCTGTTTTGCTTTCTCAGTTTCGCTCGCAGGTCACAGAGTGGGATTCCGTTCCTGATAATCAACAAAGGCCGTCTCTTCCAGGTCCTGGGGGTCCTCGCCTAGCGGTTAGAGAGTCAGTCCCGCCTGGGGAGTTAGTTTTGTTTGTTGATGGGGCCATGCTGCGTGGTTCCCACGGGGCTGGAGGTTGGGTTTTGCAGGATCCATCGGGCACGGTGGTGGCGGCTTCAGCGGCCTTGTACGTGGGGATTTTTGATCCCTCCTTGGTGGAGCTGTTAGCTTTTCGGGATGCGATTCGTTGGTGTTTGGCACGAGGTCTTCATTCTGTCGTCTTTGCTGGGGATGCACAGGTGGTGATTAGAAGGATTCGAGAAGGTCAGGTTGATGATGTTCAGGGTGGCGCGGTTTTGGAAGAAATTCGATGCTTGACGGGCTCGTTTCCGGTGTTTGATATTCGGTTTGTTGGTAGGGATTGTAACAGGGTTGCCCATTTGGTGGCAAGAAAAGCCCTTTCGTTGTTCCCTCACTTAGGAGGGTTCGATTTTGTTTCTTGGCTGTTTTCAGCTGTGTGACTTGTTATATCTGACTTTCTCGGTAATACGAGTGATCTTTTGGCAAAAAAAAAGTAATCAGAATGAGAACAAAGGTTTACAATAGATCGAGGAACATTGACGATAGAAAACTATAATCCACGTAGAATACAAACTTACTCTTTTACACTTGTAGGTCACCACAATCAGTGGCGGATACATGGACATTTAGGGGGTGTTCCGGGACACCCTTAAAATTTGAAAGAACGATTATCCAACCCCCGGTTGTAGTTTCGTATGGAAAAAATTATAATTGGTAATTCGGGACGCCCTTAAAATTTTGAAAAAAAATGATTATCCTACTCTCGATAGTAGTTTGTGTAAGATTAAAAAAATATAAATGGTAGTTTGTGTTATTAAAACCTAAGACACTACTATTATTAAACATATTCTCTAGGTTGCAACTCATTTCTTGTTCCATTTAAACACTATGAATTAGTAAAAACATTATTGCTTATCCCAACTATTTTCAAAACCTAACAACTAAACTAATTAAGGGTTATCCTTAATTTGAATTGATTTTATAATTACACGGCAAGACTTAAAAGAGTCTTTCAACTTTGAGTTACATAAAGAACAAGGTTAGAAATCGAATATGCGATCAGTTCGTGAATTATTCTATAGTATGATATATATAGATTTGTTGATTAGTGAAGACGTCGAGTATATTTTATATTCTTTTTAAGAATATGAAAACACGTCATGGCCTTTTGTCAAAATTTGTACTAGTCATATATTTTCTTATTTATGAATTATTTAATTTAATTTTTTATTTTTTATTTTTTTAAAGAGGAGTAGAGGACACCCCTATAAAAAAATCGGATCTGCCACTGACCACAATGCTTCTATGTAAAATCACAGTTTTCATTTATAATTACAGTAAAAATCTAGATTTTAAAAGTTAAAATTTACATTTTTACATTCACCAAAATTCTTCTACATAAAATTTGCGATTTTGACTAAATAGCTTGTCACTACCCATGGTAAAATTTTGAGATTTCACCATTTTGATCTCATTAGATTGCTGTCCAGTTGCCCACGACTTCCACAACTACAATTCTTACGTTTGACGCAAAAGGATGAATGGAATAAACTTTTCCTAAGGAGTCCACAACTAGGGATAGGGATGTCAATTGGGTGTGTTCGGGACATATTTTTTCTAAATCACTCCAATTCTCAATTTTAAATATCTTAATCCATTTGTGCCCATACCATGAGGGGGAGATTAAATAACTCCATACCTACGATTTTCAGCTACCTGTGGGTAATACACGCCTTGTACATCAAACATGATTATATAAAATTCAACCAGTAGATGTACAATTATAACATTAAAGGGACCTACCAAATCATAAAACCAATTCAGGTACAATCATTCTTTATACGATTCACAAATTTTCATCCTAAAACAACCCTTAATCCATAAGACATAGTAAAATACTATCCAAATCATTCATCTCCGGCTCTGATGCATCAACTAAGCAAAAAATAACTAACATAATCTTGTTCACAAGGGGGAAATAAGCGAAAGAGTGAAGGGAGAATTGAGGAAAAGATATTAGGGTTTGGTTTTTTGGCCACTCAGTTACATTTCTACTCTTTATTTTGTAATAATTGTCTTTCCTGTCATTAACATTTTAGTAAAAAAAATTGTCGAAGATATTCCCAAAAAGGAACAACTACATAAGAATTGCAAGTCTTTTCAGACAGCCATAATAATATCTATAAGAGAAAGGGACGACAGTCATCCAATAGTCGAACCATCGATAAGAAAGCTTTTTTCGCCACGCAATAGACAACTCATTATACCTATACTGCCTGGAAAATGTTCATGAATTCTATCCTATAAAGGTAAAATGGAACCAACCATGTTGAATGTGAAACAGAGAAGCCAATCCAAGCCATTCTGACATGAAGAATCACCTGCAAAATTAACAAACAAATAATCTCCAATAGGACAACCCTATGAGCCAGCCATAAGAAACCACCTATATGATATTGATATTACTACGTCAAAGTAGTTAAAAAATGAACCTGCAAAATAAACAATCAATAGGGTCCAACTAGAATTGTCCAGCGAGCTGAGAAAAATGGTTATATCTGGAGTTCCAACTTTGCCAAATAAGTACAATACACATAATAACAAAACAGAATAATAAAACACTAATAATAAATGAATATTGAATAGTAACCAAAGCATAAACGAGAATCGTAGATAAGACCAAAGTACAAAAATTCAGTAATTATCCAGTGACCACCATGTCGTCTTTGTAGGATAAGAGTAGCAGTACCGTACCACCTGGCCACCTTAGGGGTTGAAGATCTGGTGACTAAGAGAGTGCTTAGTCACTTAGCTAAACTCCTTTCAGCTCTTAGATCTGAATAAATCAATCTGACAGTTAAAAGTGGGAAGAGTTTTTATAATTAATGACAGGGGTAGTTTGGGTATTATGGAAAATTACGAAGTATACAAACCAGACTTATAAACAGTACAAACCATACAACATACGAACAATACGAAACATACGAACTATACAAACAATACAAACTAGACCGACAAACATTACAAAACATACTAACAGTACATGTAAGGAAGTGGTTAAGTACCATACATGGGCCTGTATAAGATCCAACATAACCTTCTCCCAACAACTCGAGTTATTGGGACCAACTG